CTGGCCTGGAGTAAATAATGAATCGGTTGTGTAGACGGTTTATTGTATTGAGGTTGTCCTACAATTAGCTGGGATAGAGCTATATCCAGTTGTGATTATTGGGAATTTCTGTAGAGTATGTTTTGATCTCCAGTTGATTTTGTTGGCAGTTATTTGTCATTACATATATGTCGCATTGAAATTTCTGGTTTTGGATTAGGTTCAGTTGGTTGACCGGTTTTAGGTTGGATTTCAATAAGATTATCCATGCAGACATATTTTATCCCTGAGACTCTGTGTTTCTATAAGAAGTATAATCTTGTTCATAGCTGTGATACCAGTTTTCATGTGAATGTCTTGCGGCTGTATTGTAAATTACAGCCTTGCAGACGAAAATGTTTGCTCTAACGGTACCGATGTGACAGAATGGCTAAGACACGTTTAGTTTAAAGTGTTAGCCTTGGTAAAGCCCACGTATTTTTGGAGGCATTTTAAGTGACAATATAGCACAAGCATTAATTCGATACAAAATGTATTTTATTTACTAGTATGATTAATCACTGATGCCTTTTTAATTTTCCGAAAGAGGTTCTCAAGAAGATCAATTTTATATAAAGAAAACAGCAATATTCTAACAGGAAACCGATTAGTCGAGTATCGTTATTGGTATTCGATACTCTGTACTACCGAGCGATACTCGAATACTCAGTACTCGTTGACATCCCTAGTTATCATAGTTAGATTCTTATTTATTGAGCTCACCACCAATTATTAGCTCATCATCTCCTTCATTGTTGTAAGAATGAACATGTATAGGTTTTTTCATTTGATGTTGATGTTTGCATTGGTAATAAATTGCTCTATCCTAAAGTTTCTGTTGTATCCTTTAGTTCAGCGTTTCTTATTTCAGCTTTGTGCAATCTTTTAATTATATTTTTGTTTTTTTTCTTTCGTGTCTTCGTTTAACATTGCTTCTTTGATTTTTAATTGTTCCTCCTTCTAATTATTTAATTTTTGCTCTAAAGTTCGCAGTTCTTTCCCTTTATTTGACATAGTTTGTTCATTTTGATTGTCAAATTTTGAATGAATATCTAGACTTGTCACTTTAGATAAATTTAGTGATAATATATGGTTGTTTTGTACTACTTGCTGAATATTTTGTATCGGTACACAGTTGTCTGCCCATTGTTTTGTTGTTTCAGCTGCTGTTTATCTGTAGTTTGAACTAAATTTTGTACACTGTCTAAATTTTGCTTCATTTCAGTTTGATTAAGGAGTCATCTGTTGTATCTTGTTCCTCTAGACCAATACATGAGAAACACAGGTCACTTGTCTGATCTAAACATTGGGAGTGAAAAGTAAAATCACAAAAATACTGAACTCAGAGGAAAATTCAAAACGGAGAGTCCCTAATTAAATGGCAAAATTAAATGATAAAACGCATCAAACGAATGGACAACAACTGTCATATTCCTGACTTGGTACAGGCATTTTCAAATGTAGAAAATATTGGTTTGTACCTGGTTTTATAGCGCTAAACCTCTCACTTGTACGACAGTCGCATTTGACACATCTGTTTTTCTAAATTGTCATTACATTGTAATTCTTCTAATAATAATGTTTTTGTTCCGACTTGAAACGAGTCTTTATTTCTACCTGTTGTTTCATTGCTAGATGCAAGGTTATATATTTGAGTGGTGATTAAGCCTCTAAGACAGAGTAAATTTTACAAAGATAGTTCTTATCGTCATTTTCGATGTTTTGTATATCATTTTCTGAAATTTTATCACATAAACAGCTCTGGATTTATATGTTCTACTGCATTTATAACATTTTTCAATAGCTTTTTAAATAGTAGTTTTAGTTGTTTTTGATTCCACAGTAACTTTAGGATTATCAATAGATTCTAATTCTATTGCCAGTTTGTAAGCCAAATTTTGATTTAGCAGGCCAACATTAATTTTTGCTCCTTGAATTGTTGTTTTTGACAATATTTGTTGCATCTGTGCAACATATAAATTGTCAATAAAGGACTATACATTTCTCCCTTTATCAATCAGGAACATTTTGTTAGATATGCATTAATAGTGTAGGTGACTGGTTCGGTACCTTTTTTCTTTATATGGAAGGTATATTGGACATTGTTTCTCTGTTAATCAGTTGCAGTTGTTTTAGTGAGATCATAGTTGTTAGAGTCATCATAGAGCTGCTCACAAGCATAGATAATATGTTCAAATGATATTGCATCAAGCTTTACTTTAACACCACCCCTTGTTCTTACATATTAAATTTCTGATCTTTTGGTAGATTCAAGTTTTTTCTTTGATTTTTCTAAATTAAGAGTGTAGCTGTTCTCATATTCGCTTCTGATTGAGATTTTACAGTCGCTATTATAATGCCTCAAAGATTTCCTGAGAAGATCCATTTTTGTATTTTGTTACTATGCACTGGTTACAATTACTTACTGTTTGGCAGGACTGTTGTGACAATGAGAACTAGGACACTGTGGAAGGTCATTGCCGCCATGTTGGCCATGCATTCAGTGCGCTATCTGAAAAGGGTCTCCCATGCCAGTCATTATACATATAAAAGATTCAAAAGATCTGGTCTTTTTTTTTTGCAGAAGAGGTTAGATTCCAAAACTAGCCAATTAGAATCAATAATTGACTATGACATTTATGGTTTTCATTCAATACGAGCGAAAGGAAGAATGCGTAATGAGAAGCATACAGATTCAGTACTCCCGCAAATTTTCTTGCAAATTGATCTTGTAGATTCTGAGGAGTTGACAGAAACAGGGAAATGCAGTTTTGTCAGATAAGTTTTTTTATGCTATTTATGTTAACACGTCTACTTCATATCTTGATTTACTTTTGGAAATTGACAATTGAATGAAGGTAGTTTGATAACTTAACTTGGTAAAAATAAAAAAAATCATTTTTCCGATTGTAATCAATCAATTTCTGTGTAGAAACATTCGAACAGCGATTTCACATTATTTATATATCTCTCCAAGTTGATATAACATTCTAGGTCTTAACTTGCTTATCATCATTTCCTTGACAGACGGTTGCTGCTTCCAGGAAGCTATTGAACTAAAAGTTGCTATAGCAGTAAAGTTGACGTCATCATCTCGAAAGGATACAAACACCATCATGATTTGGTTGACCGTACAGATGACCACGGATATGTTCCACTTGTAGCCATAAACCCGTTCTTCTTTTCCTTGATTGTGATTTCACGATTGTGACATATCACTGAAAAAAGTAAAATAACAAAAAAACCGAACTCCAACGAAAATTCAAAACGGAAAGGAGGAGGTACGATAAGAACAATTATTTTGTCCTCTGAATTGCAAAAAATAGTAAACTCATTCAAGACTTTCATAATGCTGTCAATTGTATTGATATATGAACAAATTGGTATAATCTAGACACTTTAGTGCATACAGGTCACTCGTGATGTCACTGTGACGTCATAAACATGACGAAATTTACGTATTTGACCTATATTACCCATTTCGCGCATAGTTTTTGGTCAAAATACGTATGAGCAATAGCTTTACATGAATGATATTTACGCACATATTTACATCTTTGCTAAATGCATTTAACTTTAGAAGCATAATATTTTTTTGGTAAATCTGTTGCTCGTATCCAAATATACTGTAAATGAAGCTATTTTGGCAATTTCGGCTGGTTTTTTTTATAGAAAAAATGTTGAAACCCTAATGTCAATATATAAGAGACACAATTCAAATATAATACTGATGTCTGATAGACGAATGACTTATATATGAACATCTGAAAGAATTTATTTGGTAGATTTAAAATCATTTTTCATTTTCGAGTTCAAGAGGTTGGAAAATGTGGCTTTATAATACCTTCTCCTTTAACTTGCCACGAACAACACGACTGGTGTTCATGAAGAAGAGGAACTGCACACACTTCCGAAACACATGGATTCATCCCGGTTTTGGTTGGATTGCTGTTGCTCACGTTTTTTGTTTCCTGTTTGTGCTTTTGGACTGATATTTGTCTTTTCTTTTGATCAGATCAAGGTGGTGTCTGTCTTCTTCGACTTAAAAGTTTTTGTGTGCGTCGTTGGTATCTTCTCCCCTTTCATGTCACAAACAATTCTATTCTGAACTTCAACTTTTTATAATTATTTTCCTCAAAATATCACCCGAATAAACGTTTATTATCATCATAAAAGATAGATTTAAATGTCTTATAGTTCCCATAAGTTTAGAATGCTGTTAGCCTTAATGAATTATTCAATAACTTTTAGTGCCACAAGGTTGTTTTTTTTAAATATTCAGTAACTTTTATTGCAACGGAATGTTATTCAATGATAATTGGTTTAATATCAGGATTGAAATTATTGTTTTGGAATGGAACATGCAGTGTGCATTTACTTTTTGAGAAATTACACGTTTCTTTCTAATCAGGCGTGTTTAACAATTTCGCCATTAAAGTTGTTTAAAAGCTTTAGAGGATAAAACGTCATTGAAACGGAAAAACAATTATTGTAATTTGTAATATTTCAGGTTAACTACCCTTAAATGGTTTAGATGAAACATGATATGTATTGAAAAATTACCACTGAGTCACATAAAGATAAATGGATGTACCTATTGCTTTTAATAACCAGTATCTCTAGATCTAATTGAGGAAACGGTTGTTGATTATTTTTTTTAAACATAAGACGGATTATTATTCTAGTGTAAAAATTCATGTGGAACTATTGGCTTTATCATTATGATAAATCATTCCTTGCGTCGGCTTATCTCGAAAATAAAGTGGAAAGCAAAACAAAATCCGCATCATTGCTTGGAAAATAATACACTGACGTTTCTATCCAATATTAACCTATTAAAAATACTTAGAATTTCGTCAATAATTCTAAGGATAGAATTAGCATCCTATTCATAGGTATTTAGTTCTCCTGGGTCAACTAGATGGTTTAAAGAATCCGTGATATGATTTTATGAGTTTCGTCCCATTACTCAAAATGAAAGTATGAATGCAAATAGAAGCATTTCGAACCAAACTGACGATCTTGTATTTCTTGAGGATGAAATAACAAGAATCATCTTCGTATATGTGTCACCGTGTGTAATATTTATTGGAACCGTTGCTAATATTTTAAGCATTCTTGTTTTGTCAAAGAAAACGATGCGTCGATCAACAACAATGTTCTATTTGCTTATTTTGTCGTCTGCTGACCTTCTCGTTTTGTACACAGGATTGTTAAGATACTGGATTGTTATGGCTTTTGATGTGGACATACGATTATACAGTGATTTTATTTGTAAACTTCATGCTTTTCTTGTGTACTTTTCTCTAGACTTTGCGTCATGGATTTTGGTTGCCGTGACCATGGATCGCTGTATTTCTGTGATGCGACCACTCAAAGCTAGAGTATGCTGCTCTCACAACGTATCAAAAGTTATTGTGGTAGTTTTATTCGTGACAATGGTTTTTATAAACAGTCATTTGTTTTTTACAGTTGAGATTATTTCAAGAAATGGATCAAAACCCATATGTCAAGAAGCAAATGCCACTTTTGTATTTGTCAGTAAAATTTGGCCATGGATAGATTTTGCAGTATTCTGTTTTGTGCCATTTGGAATAATGATAATAGCTAATTTATTAATCATTCGGAGAGTCTCGGCGTCTGTTAAAACTTTGAAAAATATGACAGTTGACAATGATATTAGCAGAAGTTTCGACAGTTTATACACACGTAGAACCTCACTTAGATCGAATCATATTTCAGGTGAGCAATCAGAACAAATATCAACTATCACAGAAACGTTTGGAAACCATGGCTTTTCCAACAATGCTGTAAATAAAACAGCCATCAACAATTCAACAAGATTACAAACAAGCACAAACGTGACTGTGATGCTCTTGACCGTTAATTTTGTGTTTTTCTTGTGTACAACGCCAATAGCAGTCTATTTCATTGGACAGCATTACTGGGAAACCCGAGACTTGCACCCTCATAGGATCGCTGTACAAAATCTAGCTTACTGCATTGTGAATATTCTTCAATACCTCAATAACAGTGTACATTTTTTCTTGTACTGTTTCACAGGGAAGAGATTTAGAAATGAATTTTATAAACTGTTTTCAAAAAAACGTCGATCTGTCATTTTTCAATGAGACATGCAAAATTAGCATTCCTGTTTATTTGGATGCAGTCCTTTTGCGCCATATATTTTTTTTCATAGATATCAATTGCGCAAAAAAAAAAAATTTATTTGCGCCAGTTTACTTGTACACATATTTATCAAAGTAAATACTATTCCTAGAAAAATTATTGTACTACCTTAAAAAGAATAATGTATGGATTTAATGGGACTGTAGTTGCTTAAAAGATCAAATGAAAGGTGAGTGAGTGTACGTCTGAATACTAGACCAGAGGCATTTCATAAGCACTCGAATCAAATAAATTATTGTATTCATTACATCCATTTATGTTTGTATTGAATTGGTGTCGCATTGTACAGTCATGGATTTATAAAAGTTTTCCAAACTTGTTTCCGAATCCCATATTTGAATTTTATGTAAATTGTACTACTGCATTGTTATAATTTTTCAATAATAAATACTGTTCAAGCAATATGTTTTTTTATAATTTGTTCTTACTGAATGCCATCATTACACCACTGTCCTGTGGGGGGAGGGGGATGGGCACCCACAAATATGTTTATATTCATTCTATATGTGTCTGTCACAATTCAAGAGCCTGTAATTGAGTGGTTGCATGGCGTTTGTTGCTGTTTATAATATTTGTTTTCGTTTATTGTTTGTACATAAATGAGGCCGCATGATTTCTCGTTTGAATTGTTTGCATTTGTCATGCATTTCAGGGCCTTGCTTTGCTGTATGGGTTCTGCTCATTGTTGAATGCGATACGGTGATCTATAGTTGCTTATTTCTACGCCATTTGGTTTCTGGTGGAGAGTTGTCTCATTAGCAATTATACCACATCTTCTAAATTTAATATCATGTGTACACTCAGAAAGAACGATTATTTCATGCAAATCTACGATCTCTTAAAAGTTCGATAGAGTTTCAACAGTTGGTCATCGGATTCACAGTATGAACTTTTTGAAAATTATATTGACCCGGCAGAAAGTAAAATAAATTATTTCGAATTCACGATATGTACCACATTTAATTAAACCATGGGAGAATAGTTCTATTGAACATAGATAATACAGTTAACATGTATCACCATGATTAGACAGGACTGTCAGGATTTCTCTCCTCCTGTCAATAAATAATTCGCCAAATATTTAAAGAGCCATTTAAAAAATTCTTTGAATGAAAAATACGGGTATTAGTGTGTTTGGAGGGTGTTCATTTTGAAAATAAAATTTTTAAGGTAGACCGGATTTCTTCCACTAGCTCGGATTTGTAAATTACTATAGAAAACAATCGATCTACAACTTTAATGAAATATGCATTTTAAATGAGGAATGCAATTCATTTGTAAGACTTTTCATTTCAATGAAGATAATTACATGTTTAATACTAATATTCCGATCATGGCGATAGATTTGAAAAAAATGCAAAACCTGCAGCTTGAAAAAAAATCTCTGTGACTTCACTTTTTATCAGAGTTTTGAAAACAACATGAGTCTTCATTTAAAGTATGAACAAATTCTAATTTTTTTATTTTAACTTAAACCCTGCTCTACTTGACTTGAATAATTATATATGTGTTTTAAAAGACTGTATAGTTGTCCTGCTTGCTTCTTTCACATTTTTTTTGAAACGGCCATTATTTTACGATGCGGTCTACAGTTATGACGTCATATTTTAGCTTTACGTCAAAGTCATATGACGGCAGCAATGGGAATTCTGACCCTTGCAATAAACCGAAATATTCCTGCATTGAAACCCTGTGTCGAGCCTCAATGTATTACCCCTACCCATCTGTGACGTAACGTGTATTGTTACAGAACAGACGAAAAAGGCAACCGTTGCCAAGCCTAAATAAAGACCGTTGGCATTTGAAAGGAGTACTGAAAGCCTAAATTTAGGATTTACGGCTTAGTAAGGGTTAAATATGTTGATGGATTTTTTTCTCTGAATTAAAGTGGTGCTTATTTGAGGACAAAATCATTGACCTAAAGAATCGATAATTATTAACTTATTTTAAACAAAACTCTAACCTCGTTTGTAACATTTAGAAAGAAAACTGTCATATTTTAAACCAAAACTCTATTTAATTTTCTCTATTATCAATTACTGTGAATATTTATACATGTAGATCCAAAAGTATACGTAAATGGCAATATTTTTTAAGAGGATTCAGTATAAATCCTTCCATACTTGGAACATTTTCTGTATAAATAAACACTTATAACCCATTGTTCAATGTAAACGGTTATCTTTGACAGAACATTTTTCATATTGTCATGAACATTCTGTGATTATTACTTATAGCTTCGCATCTCGTTGCTTCGTATCACGGTGCGAAGCTATAAGGTCCAGTCGATATTCTACCATACCATACACGAAAGTTTTACTATACAGTTAGTTCTGATTGGTTGCTTCTTGGTGTGGCTAAGATTCTATATTAGTTTGAATGAGTGATAAAATGGGGAACACGTCAGAAAAGGAAAGAAGAAATTATATGTGGATGGTATTACGGTATGGGTATTCGAGAACCGATCGATGAATATGTTGTTATAGGATCATATTGTAGGATACGCGAGCTCATAAACAACATTGATACATTTATTATTAAGGAATTCCTTTGGTATATTATAGTCTATATACAAGATTAAATTTATTCACAATATTTTCTATGTATGATGTGTATGGTGTACATATCATATTATCAGTCATTGCATATAATATACGAAAATGATAGCTCTGTTCACTGATGCGTTTACGATGCTGACCAAAATGTATTTCATGTATTAGATATAAATTTGTTAAATATCACATTATACAATTTAGAAAGTATGGTTCTAAAACGACACTTTAAAACTGTACAACAAAACAACTAACACACATGTATATCTAACGTCAACAGTGTAGGTGTAACCATCGGAACATGGTAAATTGATTTAAAGCATCAAGTTATGGGTTACTCTCATCGGGTACTTTAGGTGATGATGAAGTTGAGAGTATCAATTTACTTGACAGAAATAATTTAATTCATCAGAGAGAGAGTAGCATCAACGATATCGTGAGTCAGTCTAACCAAAGTGATCCGAAAGTATTACTAACCTCCTTTAATAGCTACTGAATCATTTTATCAATTTTAGTATTTTATGTTATATTTTTCCTTTCACGGTCCATTTTTCGTTCCCTTAGAACGGAGCCGATTCCCTGTTTGGTCATTCTGTGTATCATATTAATAATTATGAGAATCAACCCAAATGAAATTTATCTAATAATTACAAAAAATAATAAATATTAGTACTCAGTGTCTAATTGTTGTGGGGATGTATAAGTACCCTACCACGTCCACTCTGTGTTTTGTTATTTGTTTGTGTATCTATCTGTTGAATTAAGCCCTTTTCAACAGATTTTTATAGTTTGTTCATTTGTCATTTCGGGGCCTTTTATAGCTGACTATGCGGTATGGGCTTTGTTCATTGATGAAGGCCGTACGGTGACCTATAGTTGTTAGGTCTCTTGTGGAGAGTTGTCTTGTTGGCAATCATACCACATCTTCTTATTTTTATATTTATTATTAAAAGTACATCAAACTGCCTGTTTTTAAATAAACGTAAAATAAATGTATTCTATTAACACAGTGCTTAATAACGTATAAAATAAATTTGTTTTAAAATATACTACTCTGTCTGTTAAGAATGAGACATAAAATAAATGTTTTCCCAACCCATAGTGCTATCTGATCTCAATTGTTCATAGAATATGTTTCAATTACATCAATCTCACGGTCTGTTTAATATAAGGCATAGACTAAATTTATATTAAAATCTTTACTAATACACTTTCATTCGTAATTATATCTAAGAAGACAGTTAAGATCTCCCGTCGTCCTTTCCGACGATGATTAGTAACATTGATTCTGATTTTCACTTTTTAAATTTGTTATTCCGTTCCGTTCCGTTCCGCAAAGTACCAATTGCTCTGAGGAATTGTTATGTAACGGAATCGAACGGAAAAAGACATCTATGTAAAAGACGGTATGATTCTTTTTTTTTTCGTCTTACACCTCTTATTCTTAATGAGTGGTAAGTGTTTTAGATATGCATCCAATAACGGATCAATAATTTATTTGAAATAGGCAAGTCAGACAAAAAGTATTACTCCTTTCATTCGTAATTATATCTAAGAAGACACGACCTCCCGTCGTCCTTTCCGACGATGATTAGAAACATTGATTCTGATTTTCACTTTTTAAATTTGTTATTCCGTTCCGTTCCGTTCCGCAAAGTACCAATTGCTCCGAGGAATTGTTATTTAACGGAATCGAACGGAAACAGACATATATAATATAATAACAGCAGTATGATAAAAAAAAATTGTCTGAAACCTCTTTTTTGGCATGAGTGGTAGGTGTTTTAGATAGCATTTTCGACCTGATCAATAATTATGAATTTACCACAAATGCAGGTTAGACAAAAAGTCTTTCTCTTTCCATTAGTAATTCTATTTAAAAAGAGAGGCCTTCCTCCGCCCGTTCCGACGATGAGAAGAAAAACTGATCAAGTTGAATCTGATTTAAACTTTTTAATTTATTATGCCTTTCCGTTCCGCAAAGTACCAATTACTCTGAGGAATTGGTAGTTAATGGAATCGAGCAGAAACAGATATCTATAATATATATATGTAGGACTCTGAAACGCAAAATCTACGAAAGTTTTTGTTAACGTACGATGGAGCGAGGTATTCTCTAAATACATACGGGTCCACAGACTCTCCTTATTATAATATAACGGTAAACGAGGATCTCATGTGAGGAACAAAGTAAAGATGAAAGTTAACGCAGAATTATGTCCATATGCAGAAAATCAAAGAAGACGATCTCTCATTTAGTATGCAACTGTAACTAATGAATACATAGACAATAATGCATGCAAATTTATATACTAACTTTGAAACAAATATCATGACTGCTCATAATAATTGCACATCTTAGATTTTAAACTAGCTATCACACGTCATAT